CAGCCGCAACCCATCTCTGGGAAACATCCAGACACACACACACACACACACACACACACACACACATTCGTATACTATGGACAATTTAGCCTACCCAATTCACCTGTACCACATGTGTTTAGACTTTGGGGGAAACCGGAGCACCCGGAGGAAACCCATGCGAACGCAGGGAGAACATGCAAACTCCACACAGAAACGACATCTGAGCCGAGGTTCGAACCAGCGACCCAGCGACCTTCTTGCTGTGAGGCGACAGCACTACCTACTGCGCCACTGCCTCACCCATTATATATTTTTTATTATTGAAAGAATAAAAGCAACAAAAATAAGTACACTCACTAAAAAATACTGGTGTTTACTTTGCCCACTCAACAATTCACACATTACTAGCTGGTTAGTTTAGGTCCTCTACTTATAAGCTAAAAAGGCAACAGTGGTCCAACCTTCCAGACCATTATCACCAATAAAGCCTAGAAAACAGGGCACTGTAAACCGATAGGCTCAAATATTCCTTTCCAGTTATCAACTTTCGCCATGGCCTCTTATGCTTTAACAAATGTGTCCCATAGGTTTTTCCAAACTTTTCAACAAAAATTTTCTTCCTTTCCCATGGCTGTTGCAATTTCCAGCTACTGTAAGAATCTGGTTCTCTCTGTGATCTAATGTTTGCTAGTGTTTTGTACCTGTTGCTAAGCAGTTATATATTATATATGATTTTAATTCTGTTGCTAAGTGGTTGCTATGCTATTCTAGATTGTCGTCATCTTACCTGCTAGCGCGAGCAGCATTTCACCCAGACTCTGCTGGTATAAATCAAGCGTGTCGTAATCCTCCGCGCCGCTCTCCTCCTGCACACAGATCCCAACAAAACTACATCACCCATCATGCAACACTGCTGCTCACATGATGTATATGCAAATGAGCATATAAGGTTTACCCGGGCAACAGCAGTGGACGCCACTTCCAGTGCAGCCAGCAACCGAGGCTGATCCCTGGACATTTCTGTGAAAGATCAAACAGCTGATGTTCATAAATCAGTTCATTTCATCTGCTCCATATTAATAAAGCAGCACTGGTACCTATTAAAATGTTCCTGGCTGATCTGGCCTCTTCAAAGCTGATCTTGTTGTCTGATCTGACCAGAGCTTTGAGTTCTTCAGCACGACAGACGTATTGATTCACCTGAGAAAGACAAGCGTATCTTTAGACTGAACATGATGCTGGATTCACAACAAATGCGGAATCAAGTACATGCGTGAATAAGTTACACAGAAAGTCAAATGCAAATCAGAGCCAATTATTATCACATGCAGTGCTGGGGAGGTCACTTTGGAAATGTCATAGTTTACGAATTACAAATGACCCTATTTAAAATGTTTAAAACAATTTAAAAAATGAACGTAATTCAACAAATAACCACCGGGTGTCGCTATTACGTGCCTTCAATTAGGCAGCACTTCAGGGGCCTCATGTATTAACGCTGCGTACGCACAAAAACTTTGCGTACGCCAGGTTTCACGCTCAGAATCGCTCACGTTTGGATTTACTAACGATGAACTGAACGTGGGAATGTGCGCAGCTTCACGGCAGCTTTCTGGATGGCGTACGCACATTTTTTGTGCGTGTCTGTTTTATTTCCATTGGCGACTCCTAGAGGCAGTTGTGTTAAATTCCTCTCTACAAAGTGTCTGAGCCTTGCAATGGCAGCTGTATGAGACGGGTTCATCTAGTAGGTATATAAGGTTTCCATACCATACAGTTGACCAGCCAAACATTAAAGCACAATTTGCAGCGGTCGCCTGTTTTCCCAATGTAATCTGAGCGATCTACTGCACGCACATTGCTATAAAGACACTATCTGAAGATGAATTTGCATGCGTGAATCAGAAACATTTCCATTCAATAAATGTGCAAATAAAATATGATGCACAGACTTATTGATGATTCCTACTTGCCTTTCTCGTGATAAATAGTGGGCAAAATCTGATATGTAGCGGGGGAAAAAAGACGAAAGAGTTCATCAGACGCTGGTTTCGAGCCGAGTTCATGTTCGGATGTGTCAATACATGATCACATGCGTCTTACGAGGTGCGCCACTGAGTCTGCTAAGGGTTCTGCAACATTTTACAGATATAAATCACACCATTTCTTTATTTTAATGCACTGGGTGCGATGTTCAGACCCAACTGTGTTAACCGCGTCAGCTAAACTCTCCCACTCTATTTTTCTTCTTTTGTTGTTAATTACGGAGAACAAACTTGCAAATAACACCGCTTTTCTCCGGTCTACCTCCGAAAGCAATTCAATTCAATTCAATTCAGCTTTATTTGTATAGCGCTTTTACAATGTAGATTGTGTCAAAGCAGCTTCACATAAATGGTCATAGTAATTGGAACAGTGTGGTTCAGGTTTTAGTGTTTAAGTTCAGTTCAGTTCAGTTTAGCTCTGTTCAGTGTGATTTAATCATTACTGAGAGTTCAAACACTGAAGAGCAAATTCAACGATGCGTAGCTCTACCAATCCTGAACCATGCGAGGCAGTGGCGACAGCGGAGAGGGAAAAAAAACTTCACCTGATGGGAGTGAAGAAAAAAAACCTTGAGAGAACCAGACTCAGTTGGGCACGACCATTTTAATTTCTCCGCTGGCCAAAAGTCTTGTGCAGAACTTCATTCGCCGTGGTTTATGCTGGAAGATGGCCTCAATGAAGACTCGTCTGTCCCTGGAGCGTCGCTGGAATCAGACTCATGTTCTCCACTCCCCAAGCACCTCCAATTCACATTCTGTTCAGAGTTTCTCTTCTTGCTTGATTTTGCCGTTGCTTTTTCGTTGGGTTTTGCCATTAGCATAGTCATTAGCATATTCATACGGGGGAGGAGGCAGGGAGGGGTTTTGTGCTCGTGCACGTGCGCTCAGTTTCACATTCATTCTGATGTACAAAAGAATATGCGTGAGATTCGGCGTACGCAGTGTTTCATACATCTGAATTTTTTTCTGCGTACGCACATTTACAGCTTTGTGCGTACGCAATGATTTAGTATGATTTCCACGCAAGTCTTCGTACATGAGGCCCCAGGTTATGAAGTAAAACTAACAGACCAAACTGAAGGAAACATAATTGATAATCACATTTTGGCGAGTCATGGCGCACCAAGAAAAAGGAAAATCAACAGTCAGTGTAAGAAGTTTCAGTCACATTGGGGCAAAGAATTTTTCTTCACAGAGATCAGCGGGAAATGTGTCTGTTTAATTTGCCAGAAATCAGTTGCAGTTATAAAGGAATATAATATTAAAAGACATTATGAAACAAAGCATCAGGCCTTCAGCTCTTACACTGGTGCCGAACGAGATCAAAAAGTAAAACAATTAGCAGCTGCTCTATCAGCTCAACAACAGCAGTTTTTTGTGCTATTAAAGTGCAGGAAAATTCTACACTGCACTGCAAAAAATGCCTTTTTTATTTAGATATTTTGTCTTGTTTCAAGTCCAAATATCTAAAAAATCTTAAATAAAGGAGAATTTTCTAATTTGCCAATTATTAATAAATAATAGGCCAATAATAAGTGAGTTTTTCCTTAAAACAAGCAAAATATTCTGCCAATGGGGTCAACAAAATAATCTTGTTTTTCCTTTTGACATAAGATTATTTTGCTTACCCCCTTAATTTGCTTGTTTTAAGGAAAAACTCACTTAATATTAGCATTGTATTTCTCAAAACAAGACAATATGTTTTGCTTGTCTGGAAATTTTTTCTTGATTTGAGAATTTTTAGATATTTGAACTCAAAACAAGACAAAAAAATCTCATTAAGAAAAGCATTGTTTGCAGTGTGGCTAGTTATGAGGTAGCTCAGCTAATCGCACAGCGCAGGACACCCTTCACTGAAGGAGATTTTATAAAGGATGAGTGTTGCAACTGTAATTTGCCCAGAGAAGATTCAAGTTTTTTAAAAACTTAAGTCTTTCTAGAAACACTGTTGGACGACAAAATAAAATAATTCCATAATAATATATACACACACATATCTATCCATCCATCCATCCATCATATATATATATATATATATATATATATATATATATATATATATATATATATATATATGCGTGTCTGAAGTAAAGTAACTGATCTGATCTGATTACTTTTTGATTACTTTTAAGTTTCTAATGGATATTTTCAATTAAATCATTTTCAAGCATTTATATCGGTAGCTGGCTCTCTGCTGCTCTAACATGGTCGCCCATTGAAGCTAAGCAGGGCTGAGCTCAGTCAGTGTCTGGATGGGAGAGCACATGGGAAAGCTAGGTTGCTGCCGGAAGTGGAGATAGTGAGGCCAGCAGGGGGCGCCCAACCTGCGGTCTGTGTGTGTCCTAATGCCCCAGTATAGTGACGGGGACTCTACACTGCTCAGCAAGTGCCATCTTTTCATCTCTTTGTGTTCGTTAATAATCCCAGGATGTCCTTCATAAAGAGTAGGGGTTTAACCCTGGCATCCTGGCCAAATCTGCCATATGGCCTCCTAACCCTCCCCATATCATCATTGGCTTCATCACTCTGTCTCCTCTCCACCAATCAGCTGGTGTGTGGTGTGCGGTCTGGTGCAAAATGGCTGCGTTACCCCTATCTGTTCCAGGACCACACAATTCCCAATGGTGAGCAGGTCACATTGTAAGCCTGTGTCCTAACAACACGCTCCATAAGATGTGCAGTGATGAGCAGTTTGGCTGTTTGCATCAGACAAAACAGGACAGAAATGTAAACACAGCCATTCAGAACAGAGCACTCACTGCACTCCAGCACAACGCTGAGCTTTATCATCTAATGAACACACATTAAAGCTCTTGAACATGATTAAACTGAGTCTCAGTTCAGTTTCAGACGCTTTATTTTAAATAATACTGAACTGTAATACTGAACTGGATCTGCTGCTGCTGTCAGTAGTGCGGCATTAAATGTCATGTAAAACAGCATTCAGACTCACATTATGATCATTTAACACTGAATAAAGAGCTGAACATGAGCTGTAGCTGAGCTGATCATTGTCAGTTTTCTGTTGTTCAGCTGTGAGAAACAGAAGCCGCTTCTAAACTATCAATTTCAGCTGTTGGTTAGGACAAAAACTCCTTTAATATGGAGAATATTCCACACGTGCCGCTGCTTTTACAATGAACACGATGTAAGTCAGCCTTTAGGCTTGATCGTTAGACTCACTGTTAGTGTCCTCAATCTGGCAACCTGCACTCGCATTTATTTTGATCCAGGAATGCAATACCTAGCTCAACCACTGGGTGTCAAACTCACATACTGCACCATTAACGAGTCATTTTTTGTCACATTAAATGAAGCAAAAACATAATACAGGTTTTGACTGTGTATATATGCTCATATATGACTGGTTCCAGAACTGCGGCACATTTTATTTATTTTCCAATGATATTATTTATTTGATGATACATGATGCTTAATGTATGCTTCAGGAGGCCGAGACTGTCAAAATAGTCTTTAGAGTCTTTAAGATGTTTTCAAGACAAAAAAGTTCCTAAACACACATACAAACATTACTTTAAGAGATCATTTGTGATATTAATAATAGAGTGGAGGAACTATGACGTCAATTTGTATGCAAAAACCCGGAAGTGAGTTAGCATTTTAGCACTTCCAGTTCCCTCGTCCCAAAGTCAATGGCTGTTTCTCAATTCCAAGAACGCAGAGAACGGACTTGCGTTCTTGTGGAGAGCGGTCTTGCCAGGTGTCCTCGGAAGAACGAACTCAGGAGACCGCGAGGGCAGAGAACGCGTCCTTTGAGAAATGGGATGCTGCGTTCTTCCTGATGGTCACATGATCTTCACGCGTTTTAAATGGAAATCATTTAAACATTACAGCCTTCATACAACGATTTATTGTTTCCCCCCTCTTCAAAATATATACTTTGCATAAAAACATTATAAATATACTCTGCGCAAAATAAATAAAACAGATTTTAATATGAATTTCATCAAACCAACACCCTTAATGTGTTTATTCCTTTATTAAGATGTTCATGGTAATGTTTACTTTCACCGTTTCATTTAGGGAAACTCCTGAGGTAAATAAGTCAAATCTCTGAACTTTAATAATAATGAACTGAACTTAGGCAGCTGATGATGACGTTGCACGAGAACACGAGGACGCAACAATAATATCCAGCTGCAGGCCCGCAGAACCACACACATTTTAGGCACACACAATCTAGGACACACAATCTAGGCAAACCATATATGGTTACGACGGATGTTAATGTTATAACGTCTTTTTGGACATCGTCATCGATATATTTTGATATATATGATTAATAAATATTGTACACAATAAACAATAGTGTTTACTTTACTTTATTTCACAAATATTGCGATTGAGACAGCCGAATGGGGAGCCGTGTTTCCGATCACCATTCAATATAAATAGACTGAACAGTTTTTAATCAGTCATTATAGCTGATCAGTCGTTATTATCTGACAATAATATGGCAGATACTCGTTTGCTGGCCTTGCTGAATGATCTCATTTGGACAGGTTTAATTTATATAATGGATTAATTTATGATGATTGAAATAATAGCAAGTTAATATAGGCAATAATACATTAATAAAAATCTTTTTACATGTAACAAATGTATAACACTATATTAATATTTTACTCAAGCGATTTAATAGTGTTTATAAACTAATATATTAGCTTAATTTTCTAATAACCTTTTAATTAATGATTTCCCACATTTAAAACTGTAGTAATTTAATACTACAGTAATAGGAAACAAATATGAACAAATTAACTATTAACAAAAAATCATAAGTGTGTGTGTATATATATATATATATATATTTATATACACACACACACACACACACACACACACACACACACACACACACACACACCTTTAACAGTGACAGTTTAGTAAAATTTAGTAGTTTATATATAAACTTTTAATTATAATCAGTTAAGATAATCAGTTTATAACTAATATATATATATATATATATATATATATATATATATATATATATATATATATATAAGTGACATATTATTGTTTGCTTTTTATACCAAGTATAATAATATTAAGAGCTTGAATTAGTTTATTACACTTAATCCAACAATTAGACGGTCTATTATGTTTTCTTTGTGTATATGGACACATGAATAACGTCATAAGTTTCTTTAACCAATTATTTTTATTTACATAATTTAAGTTCAAAAACTGCAGAGATGTTAGAATGATCATTACGATATAATAATTATACTGACTGAAATGGGAAACCATATTTGTGAAATTCAATAGATGGCGATAATGCTAAAGAGTTAGTTACCGGTTTGCCTAGATTATGTGTCCTAGATTGTGTGTGCCTCAAACGTGTGTGGTTCTGCGGGCCTGCAGCTGGATATATCTCGGACGCAAGACAGCTGAAGAACGCATATTGAGAAACAGCCAATGGGGTTTTTGAATGGGGTTTCAGTAAAATCGCTTAAATAAGGTTCGTGGCTAACACCAACTCAAGATACTTTCACGTTTTGTTCTACGACATAAAACACATCAGTTACAGCACACTCTTGAGCTTTTAAATCGATTATGCTTCTTTAAAAAGACGGTTGCTATCAAGTTGCTAAATGAGACTACAGGCGGTGTCGGAGACATTATACGTCATCGAGCTGAACTGGTCTGGAGCGCAGCTCGCTTGTGTTGTGCATTTGGATTTGTCTGTTAATTAGTTATTTTCATGAATAGTATTGTATAGTTTGTTGTATTATTCTAATTGAGAATTCAGATTGTGTGTAGATAATTCCTTCACATGTAAAGGCTGTCGAGACAGACTAATTTGTTGATCATTTATTTTAATTAAACGACACTATGAAGATACTGCTCACCAGTGCAGCCTGTCTCTCTCCTGCCCACAGTAATGCAAACGTGTGAATAAATGTGTAAAAATACAGACATATTAACTGTCATTTTCACATGATCAAGTGATTTCTCGTCTTGTTTTCTTCATCTGAACACATTTAACTGCAGTATTTACACTCCTCCATAAAATGTATAGCAGATGTGACTGTATGGGCTGCTTTTCGCTGTACTTCGTGACAATAAAGGAATATTGAATGTTGCTCTGTGTCCATGATGATGGAACTTGCAGGCATTTGATTGACTTGTTCCTCCTCACGCCTCATTTCTGTCATCTGTTTAAGGTAAGCGGGCTGTGTGCGCGAGCGATACACTTATTTAAATATGTCTCATAATAATACTGTATAGGCACATTTATACACATTTTTAAAACGTTTAGAACAACCGCAAAGCAAAACAGATGTATTTCCCACGAAAAAACGATCCAAAAGGCACAAAGGTCTATGTGTGTTTGCATATTTATTTGTTTATAATATATAGCGTGGATTATAATGTAATAAACAGAGAGATTAACTCTTTGTCATGAACATTATTTCTAAGAATAAGCTTGATAAGCTGTCTGTAGCAGGGTGGGGCTGACGTCCCGAGGGCGCTCTAGTCCGTTTATAGCCTAATGTTAGCTTTTCAAGTCTTGCGTTTGCATTTAAGATCGAAAAGTGCTCAAAGTTGTATTTTCGTGTGACAATTATCCGGCTGGACAAAACGTGTAAGTGTAATGAACAGTGTTTAAACACAGAGCTTATTATTCGAATTCTTCGAAAAGCCTATGGGAAAATCCTATAGGGATTTTCACGAGGGAACCAGTTTTATGCTAGCAGCCGATTAGCCTACAAAGTGACGTCATAGTTCCTCCACTCTATAGGAGGTGTATCTTGGAGACACAAAATGTACCTGCAGTTCTAGAATCAGCCCCACACTGTACATATTAGAGTAAATGACAGGAGCTCACCTTTTGTCTGAGCGCTTCTTTCCTCTGTCTGTCAGTTTCATCTGTAGAAATAGAGATGATGAGTGAGTTCACGGCTCAACAGGTACCTTCAGCAGAAATGTAGGTTTTGTTTTCTTTTTTCCAAGCCTTACAGTGAATGGCGGGAACAAATTGTTCAAGTGCACTACAGTAGAGGGATAACGCAGCCGATCGATCGCCATCCTGATCCTTCTGCACCGCCTGCAGCACCAGTGCTTTCTGCAACACACACACACACGCACAGGTATGTTTACATGACAGTTTACGTTTACAGTAACGGTGAAATTTAAATTCTGATTCAAATTCTTTCTGTACTGTTACACAGAGGAATTAAATTCTCACATTATTTCCTAAATACGCTCAGCGGCCACTTTATTAGGTACACCCATCTTATTGCTCGATAACGCACATGGCAGCAGCTCAGTGCATTTCGGCATGTAGACATGGTCAAGAGGATCTGCTGCAGGTCAAACTGAGCATCAGAATGGGGAAGAAAGGGGATTTAAGAGACTTTGATCGTGGCATGGTTGTTGCTGCCAGACGGGCTGCTCTGAGTATTTCAGAAACTGCTGATCTACTGGGATTTTCACGCACAACCATCTCTAGGGTTTACAGAGAATGCTCCGACAAAGAGGAAATATCCAGTGAGTGGCAGTTCTGTGGGCGCAAATGCCTTGTTGATGAGGCCAGAGGTCAGAGGAGAATGGCCAGACTGGTTCCAGCTGATAGAAAGGCAACAGTAACTCAAATAAGCACTCGTTACAACCGAGCTCTGCAGAAGAGCATCTCTGAACACACAACACGGCCAACCTTGAGGCGGATGGGCTACAGCAGCAGAAGAGCACACCGGGTGCCGCTCCTGTCAGCTAAGAACAGGAAACTGAGGCTACAATTCACACAGACTCACCAAAACTGGACAATAGAAGATTGGAGAAACGTTGCTGCTCTGATGAGTCTCCATTTCTGCTGACACATTCGGATGCTCGACTCACAATTTGGCCTCGACAACATGAAAGCATGGATCATCCTGCCTTGTATCAGCGGTTCAGGCTGGTGGTGGTGGTGTAATGGTGTGGGGGAGATTTTCTTTGGGTCCATTAGTACCAATTGAGCATCAACGCCACAGCCTACCTGAGTATTGCTGCTGACCATGTCCATCCCTTTATGAGCACAGTGTCTCCATCTTCTGATGGCTACTTCCAGCAGGATAACGCAGCATGTCATAAAGCTCAATCATCTCAGACTGGTTTCTTGAACATGACGATGAGTTCACTGTACTCAAATGGCCTCCACAGTCACCAGAGCTCAATCCAATAGAGCAGCTTTGGGATGTGGTGGAACGGGAGATTGGCATCATGGATGTGCAGCCGACAAATCTGCAGCAACTGTGTGATGCTATCATGACAATATGGAGCAAAATCTCTGAGGAATATTTCCAGTAGCTTGTTGAATCTACACCATGAAGGATTAAGGCAGTTCTGAAGGCAAACGGGGTCCAACCCGGTACTAGTAAGGTGTACCTAATAAAGTGGCCAGTGAGTGCATATATATATATATATATATATATATATATATATATATATATATTTTTTTTTTTTTTTTTTTTTTTTTTTCTGGAGAAACTGATTTATTTTAGTTTGGCTGGAATAAAACAAATGCTGTGGTCATTATTATTAGAAAATACTTGAATTTCATTCAGTAAATCAAGAAGCATTTTCTCGACAAGCAAAAATGAGTTTGTCCTTGTGGTGAGCAAAATCTTGTTTTCCCTTATTTGTTTTCCAAAGCTTTTCCCAGGCCTAGAAAATGCCATGTCAAAACTCTTTTCCATGTTTTCCATGAGCGAGCCCTGAGTATCACTGCGCTAACAATGAAATCTGAAGTGAATCAATTGAATCAACTTGTAAATAATTCATTCAAACAGCAGCAGCTCTGTAATGAACAAGTGTGTATGTGTGTGTGTGTGTGTAAACACTGTTTTCAGATCAGCCTCTGTGTGACACTTTTGCGGCGTGGTTTGGCCACTTCAGCTATGAAATGAAGTGTGTGTGAGCTCGGGACTCACGGCCTTGGGCAGGCTCTCTGCGCTGGGCATGTGCTCCAGATCCACAAACGGATGCAGGAAGAACTCCTCAAAGCAGATGCGTCTGTCAGGATCTCTGAGCAGGAGACGGAGGAGTAGATCCCTGCAGTCACGGGACACTCCAGCAGCGGCCGGCAGCTGAACACACACACACACACACAGTGAATATACACAAATACAACACACACACACATACAAACACACTGAGCGCACGCACACACACAAAAACAGTAAATGTACACATGCAACACACACAGAGTGAGTATACACACATATAACACACACACACACACACACACACACATACACACAAAAATGCCCACACACACACACATAAACACAAACAGTGAATAACACACATACAAAAACACAGTGAGTACACACATCACACACACATACAGTAAATCTACACACAAACAACACACACAGAGTGAGTATACAAATATAACACACACACATACATACACACACACACAGTGAGTATACACACAAAAATGCTCACACACACACATAAACACAAACAGTGAATAACACACATACAACAAACACAGAGTGAGTAAACACACACACACAAACAGTAAATCTACACACACAACACACACAGAGTGAGTATATACACACACACACACACACACATAGTGAGTACACACATCACACACACACACAAACAGTAAATCTACACACATACAACACACACAGAGTGAGTATACACACATATAGCCCACACACATACAGACATATAACACACACACACACACACACACAAACACACACACAGTGAGTATACACACACAAACCTGCACACACACACACACACACACACACACACACACACACACAAAACACATAAACACAAACAGTGAATATGCTCACATACAACACACACCAAGTGAGTACATACACACACACACACACACTGAGTATACACATTACACACACAAACAATAAATGTACACACATACAACACACACCAAGTGAGTATACACACACACATAAACACACAGTAAATGTACACACATACAACACACACACACACACACACACATTGAGTATACACACATACAACAAACATACACACACACACAGTAAGTATACAAATCCCACACACACACAAACAGTAAATGTACACACATACAACACACAGAGTGAGCATACAGACATAACACACACACACACACACACACACACACACAGTGAGTATACACAAATACAACACACATACATACGCACACACATAAACACAAACAGTGAATATACACAGTACAAACGCACACATGGTGAGAATACACACACATACAACACACACATAAACAAACACACACATACACACAAACAGTAAATACACACACAGAGTGAGCATACATACACACACACACACACACACACACACACACACACACACACACACACACAGAGTGAATATATGCACATCCATTAAACACACACAGAGTTTACGCACATACATTAAACATACGCACACGGTGAATACACACACACACGCACATTACAGCAGTGTCCTTCACTGCTGCCCCATCTAGTGTTGGCTCAGAGACTGCAGGCTGGGCGTGTGTCAGTAAAGCCCTGTGCAGTGTTCAGTGTAGAGCTGCTGACTCTCACCTCCACGGGTCTCTCACTGCGGATC